CTTCGATATTCAATATATCCGAGGCGAAGATAACTCCGTAGCGGACGCCCTTTCGAGACTGCCACCTGACGAAGACGTAGTACCAACCTACGTGAGACAAACAATAAACATGCCCGCACATCCCCAAAAGAACATAGCGCCTATCGCTCTCATGTTGTCAATCACCACAGACTCCTCACTCGTCGACGACATCAAGTCTGGATACCAAACAGATCCATGGTGCGTAAAGCTAACGAAATTAGTAGACTCACTTCCAGGTTTACGACAACAAGATGGTCTACTATACCTCAATGACCGTCTCATCGTGCCACGTGTCACCCATCTACGCGAAACCATCTTTTGACTTGCGCACGACGAACTAGGGCATTTCGGGGCCGGTAAATCCTACGCCAACATACGGGATTCGTATTATTGGCCCAATATGCAACGAGATCTTGAAGAAAGCTACATACCTGCATGCACCGACTGCGCGAGAAACAAGAGTCGAACCACAAAAACCGCCGGTCCACTTCATCCCCTACCGATCCCAGATCACCGAGGCGACTCGGTCGCTATCGACTTCATAGGCCCACTACCATCAGAACAAGGTTTCGATGGGATCATGACGATCACGGACAGACTTGGCGCCGATATCCGCTTAGTACCGTGTCGAATGAACATGAACGCGAAGGAGGTGGTGAATCTATTCTTCGACCGGTGGTACTGCGAAAATGGACTACCTTTAAGTATCGTGTCAGACCGTGATAAAGTTTTCACCAGCAAATTTTGGAAGGCATTGCACAGAATAACCGGTGTAAAACTAAAGATGTCCACAGCCTATCACCCACAGACGGACGGATCGAGCGAGCGCACAAACAAGACCGTGGATCAGGCACTCAGATATTTCGTCGACCGCCATCAAACCGGATGGGTAAATGCCCTGCCTCGCGTCAGATTCAACATCATGTCGACAAAAAATGCATCAACGGGTTACGCGCCTTTCCACCTACACATGGGCCGAATTCCACGACTTCTACCCCCACTAACACCACAAAACATCGACCTCGTGCACGAAGACTTCCCAAACGACATCACAAATGCGCTTGAGATCATCGTATCCTTGAAAACCGATGTTGCAGATGCACACGACGCACTGCTCGCGTCTCGAGTTGCACAAGCAAATGCCGCAAACGCACATCGTGGGGACGAACCTAACTTCAAAGTCAACGATCTCGTGTATCTTTCGACCGCTCACAGGCAACGCGAATATCTAAATGGTGACAACAAACGTGTAGGCAAGTTCATGCCACGTTTCAATGGACCCTACAGCATAGTGTCTGCAAACCCTGAGTCGTCCACATATACTCTAGACTTACCAGAACACACTAACGTTTATCCCACATTCCATGTCTCCGAACTCAAGCGCCATGTACCCAACAAAGCTGAACTCTATCCTTCGCGAGAACTCCAACGTCCTGGACCAGTTGTCACGCAGAACGGAACAGAGGAGTGGGAAATAGAGAAGCTCTTAGACCGCAGAACGCGCGGACGAGGACGCCAATATCTCGTACGATGGCGCGGTTACGGTCCCGAAGCCGACGTCTGGGTGCCGGGCAGAGAGCTGGAAAACACCAACGTGCTGAAAGAATATCACCAGTCCCACGACTTATCTCCTGCAAACACGACGTCCATCGAAGAAGACTCACAACATACAGCATCTCAAACACCGTCTGATGAAAACAAGCCACAACAAGCGCCAATGGACTGAAGAACAAAAGCCGCATCACGCGCATTCGCATGACTGAAGAAGATTAGATTTCAGACCGCATGAAATGTTTCAGAGAAAGGAAGGGTGTAAGCCGATTGCTTACCATACGCTTACATTATCGCACTTCACGTGATTCATCCCCTTATATTCCTCGATCCTTGTACTACAAAGGGCAGACTCGGGTCTCCTACCTACCATCACATACTCATTAGTACAACGCTCAAAGAATCCACAGCTTCGTCCTGTTACCTTCGCCCGATCCGTTCAGTGTTCCTTGTCGTTCTCCCGGGCAAGGTTCCAGTCGCGAGACACAACATGCATTTCACTAAGTATGTAATATGAGGACGAGGCAAAAATGACGCGGTCGTGATTCGGTACTATAACAAAACGTATCTTTGTGGTGTGGCGGCCCGCGTGGGAGGAGTTACATGTAGGCAAGCGAGGAGTGTCTAAGGCGCACTTTGAACTCGTCAATGAGACACCTCAAAATACTAGTATCACGCACCTGCAAAGGGCTCTCTTTTTCTTGGAGTCTTACAGCACAGCTTTCAATCTCACTGGCGACCCACTCAGCATTCGCGAAAGACTGGCGCCGCGAAGTGTCAGTCACCAAAGTTCGTTGCACAATCACTGTAATGTCAAAGCAATTCCAAATACCACATCAGAAGAAGGAATGCGAACGAAGAACTTGAAACTTACCTCGACTTCACTGTAGAAAATTTTACCCCCATTTGCGAACATTCTCGATAGAATCAGGAAGTCTGAGGAAGAGAATCGCACATAAATTGAAAGTCAGTAGAAACGACATGCAGCAAAGACATAACAATGCTGAGCTTCGCAAGCCTCTATCTATTCCGAATGTATGGTGTGCTCGTGGCGTGTCCTTGAGCCGGCGACCAGCACTGTTGGCCTTGTGGAGACATGCATGATTGTGCTGTCAGGAAGTTGTTTGGCAAAAGCCTTGAATCCAAACAACCTCAACGCACGAGCAAACAAACACAAGTTGGAGCAAGTTGGTCACGAGCAATTACTTATGTCCGATAATCGACTGATACCGGTCAACAAGGATATATCATGTTTGATTTCTGAGTCGCCGCTGGGCATACTGGTTACGAGTCTAGGTGCTAAACACGAAGTGACTCCTCCTTCCCCATGATTTTCCGCATCACCCCAACGTTTCACCAGTACTTCCTCCAGCGCTACCACCACTCTCACACCCGGTCACACAGCACACCCACACGCAAACACATCTTTAATGGTATTATATCTCACCTGCCCGCATCTGCAAATCCCAGCACACCCACCCGGCTGCTGGACACCCAACAGATGAGACTTACTCCATGACCCCCGTCCACGCAGAGTCCCGTCCACTTCTGGAGTCAACCTGCGGATAGCTGCGCAGTGCTTGCAAGACGCCTTCTCGATTCAGATGCCTCAGACTTGCCAGTCGATTTACACCTAAGTCCGGTGGATTGGAGTTGTGCAAACGTACTCCCGAGCCCAGCGTTTCGTATGGACATTGCAAGCCCGCATGCTCTCACATACACACTATCCACGCAAACTGACTAACAACGCACCACGCTCATCATCAGATTCCTATGACATATGACCGCCACTATATCACTCGCTAACGGTCTAACCTACCTAGCTTGCTCGCTGTTCAGTGTACATATGCGTGTGTTCAATTGATCACCTATAATCATTTCCTCCTCCTGCCGTATCCGTGAAATGCCAAGCTCATCGCAACCACAGTGACATTCATATGCGCCATTTTTCGTATATCGTTTCCTTTTTTCTCGAATCTCTTCGTCTTTCGTCGTTCTTATTTGTGAGTTATGGAATCCCTTTTTTCGTTAGCATTGCGCAGGGTGTCAAGATAACAAAGCAGATCGGCTTGGATGCTGTTCACGGGACAAGCTTCGGGACTAGTTCTGTATTTTGCTGTTGTACACCGCTCATTTCCTTGAATCATAGGCCACTGATAAGTGGACTCCGATCAAACAGTGTTTGTCCTCCAACCACCGTTGAACTTTTGAGAACGCTCTGCAAACGAGGGATGTGCAGGGGTGCGTACAATCATCTCTTGGCGATCACCAGTCGAGCCTCGGTAGCATACTTTATTTACAGTGAAGAGGTTATCCTGGTGAGTTTAGCCCAGGTGTGCCAGGAAGTCCTCCGCCTGCGCTGATCCCCAGTTAGCACGGCTCATGATCAGCATCAGTGTGCGTTTTTCGCTGATGGACATACGACAGGCTGCGGTCGTGGTTCGCTGCTGTTGATACGGGCAGATCGGGGGGACTATTGCTACTGAGTTCGATCACTTTGGTGCGTCTATTCTAGCTAGATGAGTTATTAACGGGGATTGGACTTGTGAGTATTGCATTGTAGATTTTGAAAGAAATGGAGATGCTGATGTTATCTTAGCGTTTACTTAAAGCTTTGATGAGCGTGTTTATCGGTCGTCTCTGTTTCTATCACAGTATTCCTTTGGTCGGTTGTTCGTCGATTGCGATAGAATGTTGACCGGAGCAGTAACGAAGTACTTTCCCCTCATCCGATTATGTTCTTTCGATCCATCTAAAGGAGAGTTGTTCTGTGGACTCTGGAAATATATTAAGGTGCGTACACAAGGCCTCGTAGCTGATGACGGCCATACTAAGATATATCAAAACACGGGACTGCCAGAACGTATTCCGCCACTTCGACAAAGACCCTTGCGGTTCCGTCGACCACGGCGAACTCCAAGACGCCCTTAGATAATTCACATACAATCTCATAGAAGCATCGGACGATGGCGCCTGATGTTAATGGTAGCGTGGACGACGGACTGAATAAACGTTCATCCTATTTGAATGGTCGAAACCGTGCGTCTGCGACGTGTGTGGTCTCGAACAGGAGAAAACACGATAAACGACGACTCACGCAATCGTAGTCGTTACTTGAGATATTAGGGAGGTCATGGACATGTTATTCGGTGTTCGAGTCGTGATAGTTGAATGTGATATTGGTTCGTGTGCTCATACTAGTAGATTCAAAGGAGGCGCAAATTGGTGAAGGCGAGTGTCAAGCGAATGCGAAGTTGTGGGGAAGATGAAAGGGCACCAATGGTGTAAGGCAGATAAATACTAGTGCGTCATGAAATGAATAGGTATCCAACGTACGTCTGCTTTGAAGGAATCATGGAGTATCTGTGTATGCATGTATATCGTCACGGGACAAACGAGAGCTGCGTTGAAAAAAAAAACACATACAGCTACAATATCTCTACGGTCCTGACGTCCATTATGTTGTTGAAAGAAGCCACGTCATTGACCTGTGCAATGATATCATGATCCGATGCGATCCTTTTATATTCTCCCTTGCGCAGTTGTACGAGCAAAAATGCGGCGAAGGGCTGCCCAAGGCTAACCATCAATCGCAAGGCTCGCGAGTGAGATTTCGAATCATCCAGCTCTTCTTCTCCAGGAGAAATGGGGAGTGAGGCGTCCAATGGATACTCGGGCTCGGACCGATCTCCCGAGCTCTCCGCATCATCCACAAAGTCAACTTCCTCTGCAGAGTCAAGCTGGTCGAGGAGACGGCGGTCCCATGGACGGACAAGCAGGAATGTCTGTCGAATAGATCTTGCCCCCCAGAACTGGGTCCACTTGTGAGTCGTGGTGATATGGAGGTCATGAAGCCCGTTTGCCTTGACTGCATACGTAGATGTCTCCTGTTCTCGACCACTTCCAGAGCGCCGCTTGACATCTGTGACAGGGAATACAATGCAAGGAAGATGTAACCGGCGGTGCTCGAAACGGGGACCGCTCAGGTGGTTAAGTGTCTGATACAGCCTCGAAGCCGACTCTAAAGTCACAGCACCTCGTAGTGAGGAGACCGATGACTGAATCTCATCTTCGGATAGAGGTGGTATAATGTATGGTGGAGCGTCGTACGAAATAATGTTGGCTGGTAGACAACTGTTGAATGTGGATGGTTGTCCGACCCAGTCGAGGGCAGTAATGTCGCCCGACTGAGTTACGATTACCTGTAGGAGCCGCCCGAGCGCATTTTGCTTGTTCTCTCCATAAAGGACAGGAAGTTGGACGCCGAAGATGCCGAACAGCGAATACGCGATGTCTTCCGGCACGGTGGTGACGCGCGTAGACGCCCATCGGAGTTTCTCCCGGGCGTCTCTCGTCCCAGGTTGGAAGGCGACGAGGGCGTGGGCATCTATGCCCGTCGCATCCTCCAATTCACCCATGATCTTCTCGGATTTCTTATGGTTGGGGGAGAGGTCGTTGAGATATGGAGTCCAATCCTGTTGGTAGAAGCGAATGACTTTAGGTGCGAGGAATTCGGGGACAGTCCATCCTCGGGTGTTCCATGAGCTCTTCGCCAGCGCGCCGGACTGGGACGAAGGCAAAGCTTCTGACAGGTAAACGACCGTGAGCGCTGAGTCGCGATACCAACCAAACATAGAGTTCAGTGATTTTTGGACTTCGCCGTTGTCGCGCTGGTCGATGCAACAAGAATCGACCCACGCCCAGTGATACTCTGCCTTACGAGCCATGTCGCAGAATGACTGCAACTTGACGAGATTTCCTGCCTTCAACTTGTATACATCCTGGTCCTTGATGTCCTGCAACCGCGGCTCCTTTTCGTCCCATCTATGGGATAACATAACGCAACGGAAGTACGTCGCCACCGCGTCTGTGATGTGCTCCGTTCCAAGCTCAGGGTGCTTCATAGTCGACAATAGAAGCTTCTTGTAGTCTATTGTTGTTTCAAAGGCGCCAAACTGTGCTCCTCGGTCGCATAAGAGTCCAGTGGCGGTGTTGAGTAGACGCAGCGGGGCAGCGTTGAGTTGATCGCCCATGATCTTTCGAATATCACTCGTGGCTTCGGAGAGACTGAGATACTGTCTGCGCAGCTCTGAGGAAAGAGTTGAGCATCTTGACGCACAGGTAACTTAGAGCTTACTTCGCATTTGCATGTCAGTAGCACTGTCCAATTTCGAGATCATCATGTCGAAGGCCTCGATAGCTTCATCATAGCACTGGGCTCCATGAAGCGCTGCATGCTTTACCTCGTACCCAACGTGAGACGAAGGCTTGAGATCGATGGCCTATGCGTCACCGAAGTGAACATTGGTAACAAAACGGCAGATGCCATCGCACCTTTTGCGCATCAAGAAGCGCATCCTCCCATAGCAATTTGCCCGACTTGGCCTCGCTGCGTTTCGCAAAGTCGGTGCCACTTGCAGAATTCAGGTCGATCACCATGGAGTATAGCTCAATAGCCTTGTCGTAGTCTCGTGCGGCGAGGGCTGCACATCCGGCGTCACGAGATAGCTTGCTGCATTCTTGCGTGAAAGCTGAGCAAAATGCGGGTGAGGATTCTTGCGTGACATCGCTAAAGACTTACCAGTGGACCAATCGGCGCAGCTGGGTTTCGTAACTCCATAATTTATATCGATCATGTATTGATGTGATTTCAAGGCTTCTTGGAGTCTACCAGCCCGGAGGAGGGCATCACACCGGTTCTGATTTGCAATTTGCCACAATGGCTCGAAATCCAACCCGAACAGCTACAAAAAGCATGTGGGTGGAGCATGAAAAGCACGTTTCGGTTGCATCACATCGACGTACCACCACCAAGTCGTCGTAGTATACGAAATGAATGACCGATCCTGATGAGAAAGCACCGGAATAGATAGCGGCAGCGAAGTGGCCAGCAGCTTCGTCGTGGCGCAAAGCCATTCAAGGCTTTGATACCGAGCTGAACACATAGATATGCCTGATGTGTGGATCAGAAAAATGGTTTCATTGTACGAAACCTGTGCTTTATCAAGGCACTCACCTCTACGACACGATACGCAAGAACATCGTGATTCGGACAAGCTGCAGCCAGCTGTTGGACGAGCTGCATTGCCTCCTGATGTTGGTTTTGCACCAAATAGTGCAATGGCCTGAAAACCGTAATGAAATAAGGAAGCTGCGAGAAAAATGTAACATGCCTTAACCAAGAAAAGGAAAATGAATGGTTTTTGAATCTTCGTTCGTGAAAATGGAGGCAACGTCAAATGCTGTCCTCGCGTCCCGGATCTGCCCTTTTCCGCATAGGGCAATTCCCTTAGAGATATAACCTGTCAAGGAGGGCTGGATGGTGACGGACTATGTTACAATGAAAGTTAGCATAAAGGAGCAATGATGGGTCAGTCTATATCACCTTTTTTGCGTCGTCAAGCGCGTGGTCCCAGTCGTTTTTTTCGCGCCATGACAAATGAACGATTGGCATACGAGGTGTGTTTTTTTGCATCGGCGTCAATCTCTTGAGTGAATAATTTTTCAGCGGTAGATAAGTCCCCCGCGATGCATGCGTCGCGGGCAGTGGTATTGTTGACGGAGAGAATCTGTGAACGTGAAACATGCTCGAATTGCATTGTCAGAGTCAAGGACGGAAACATACCTCTAAATTCACGCCCTTGGGTGTCTCCCACTGCGAGATCATGTTCTCTCCACCTCCGCTGAGGATATGCCTGCCGTCCATGGAGAAAGTGACGCAGTACGTCGGGGATGAGTGCTGGAGGATGGCGATAGTTCGTCGATCTGAGAGCTGCCAGAGACGAACATGCTTATCTTCAGATGCGGAAGCGATGTGTGTGCCCGTAGGATGAATGACAATGGAGTGGACATGGCTCGTGTGGCCCGTCCAGGGATCACCGACCTGCTTCCAAGTGGATGTATCCCACTCCCGTATGGTCGGATCCTGACTATTTCCCCCTGAGAGAAGGCGTGTACCATCGGGTGTCCACGCGAGTGAGTAGTTGTCTAATGTATGTCCCTTGAAGATTGCGATGCGTTCCTTTGTGGTTAAATAATAAATTTCGATATTGGTGCCTGTCGCGATGGCAAGATGTTCGCCAGACGGGGAATGCCGAACGCAATTGACGCCACCCCCGCATTGGATTGTTCCTTGTAGCCGCCATGTTTCCGTGCTCCACAGTCTGGTCGTTCCGTCTCGTGAACCAGTGGCTAGCAATGTGCCATCGGGTGAAAAGTCCAACCCGTAGATATAAGTGGAGTGGGCTCTGATGGGTTGGGTAAGAGGTTCCCCAGTTTCTCCGTGCCAGGCGATGACCACTCCGCTGTCATCACTGCTTGCTATGATTTTTCTGTCTCGCGATACCGCCAATCCCCACACATTGTCGCGATGGCCCTCCATCTTCTTCAACACTGCACCTATCTTCAAGTCCCACAGACAAAGCGTCTTGTCCCGCGAGCCTGTGACCATTCGTCGTTTATCGGGGAAAACTGCTGCACCCGATATGCCGGCTGTATGATATTTAAAGACTCGACGGGGTGTCGTGTTTGGAATTAGCTGAGACATGTTGACGTTGTTGAACACGGTCGAGGTGGACTTGGGGAGGGATTGAGGGTGTCTTGCTACTGCAGAGGTGTGTTCCGTGCGTTTTATGCTGCTCCACTCTATTAGCCTGCCTCATGTTTCCATAGAAGCCCAGGGTACGAGGGTTTGCCTCCATTAAGGCTGCAGTAAGAATACCGGTATCTTATGTGTCTTCCTCAACTGTATCACACCCGTATGACGACTTGTGCCTTTGCACACCGGTCCGACGCATATCTCCACACCTTCCAAAATACATCCCCTTGCATTTAATTGTGATATGTGTTACTAGTGTCTCGAAGGCCATATACCCTGGATGGCCGCGTGAATAATATCTTGTATAGGTCATTTTCCTACACCACTGCCCTCACTCACCGAAATGTAGAGGCAATCCTTCTCCCTTGTCTTATGCGCGTACTTCTGCTCCGTGTTGCACTAGGTCAGATGATTTACGACGAACTCCCATCACATACATGACAACCCTCGAGGGTCTGCGAGTCCACTTTCTGCCCCACTGAGCCACGATTGATCAAGTCCCTGCCGCCGGAAAGTTGACACAGTGCGATCTCGCAAATAACTGCAGATCGCAGCGACACGCTGCAAGCCCGAGAATCCACCATGATGTAGGGAGGTGCTACCAGCTCCCGGGAAGATGCAATGCGTATTTTGTTATCGCCCGAATCTCGTAATGGATCTCCAGACGGATGCCCCACAGGGTGGAGTAATGTATAAGGGCGGAAGTCCAGAAGATCTACGGGCTGATTCCCAAGTGTAGACGACATCTACATCACGGAAAAGCACTCAAACACGATCTGTCTCCTGATTTGAATATCGACCCAGCACCAGAAAAACAATAAATAAAGCGCTGCGAGGAATGCAATTTGCCGTTTCCGTTGATGGAGAGCTGCGCTGGTTTCGCTACCGTCGAACTCGTTTTCCCTGACTGATACTTCCTCCCTTGGTGCCTCCTGCGGCACTTCAGGAGAACCTGGGTCGGCACCAGAATATTGGGCGTAGTGCTATCGCAGTAGTGACGAATGCTTTCGCGGCATCGTACTGCCGCACAATGCGTAGGCATCCTGTGCGTAGTATGGATATGGAAGTGGTACGGTAAGACGGTCAGGATAATACTAGGTGGCGTACCTGGGCTATGAAGGTGGTGGAAGTGGTGGCAGAGGAGAAGCTGGACGAGGGTCCTCGTCACAGCAAGCTTAAGTATTTTGAGGTGCCCAGTGCGTTGCTGAGTTCGTAATGAGGAAGTTCAGGACACTAATGAATGATATGAGTGACAAACGAAGCATATGCTGTTGCGCTCGCATCATGCATATCCCGGAAGAAATCAGGTTCTGTACTATCTCGTATGCAGTGATGTTTATCCTGGTCAGGGATAAACATCTGGATGACCGTCAGCTAGCGGGAGGATGAGGAAGATAGTAGTACATGCACGAAAAACACGGTTATCGGGCTCGAACGCTGAGTGAAATGGGGGTGAGGATTGTAGCATGAGGTAACATGACTGAGGACCTACCAATGGACCAATTGAGATCGAGGCAGCTGGCCTTGTGGTTTCATCAACGGTGTTCATCATGGATTGGTATGATTCGAGAGCTTCTTCAGGTAGTAGGAAATCCTAGCACCTTTTGTGTTTGGAGTCAGCCAGAAAAACATTGTTGGATGCATGTTAACATGCCTCCATCAACTCCGCATATGTAGGATGAACAGCTGATCTAGATGAGAAAGAAGCGGAGTTGACAGCGTCAGGAAGCGATCAACGGATGCGCGAGTTGATCAAGTGCATGATACGATATGCAAGAGGGTTTGCATTTGGAAGAGCGCTAAGTAGATGTTGAACAAGCTGTAAGTATTATTGATCTGCATCGAACAGTGCGATGGCCTAAGATCCTTCATGAAATAGAGAGGATGTGAGAAAAATAAAATGTGGTTTGATTAAGAGAAGGAAACGAACCTTTGTATGAACGCGCTGTCTAATAGAAGATGAAGAGGAGATTAAATATTAAAGGGACGCGATACTATCGGATGAGCTTTAATATTTCTTATACAGTGAGTTCAGAGTGCGGCTGAAGAGAGGGAAGAAGAACTGTGAAAGTTAGAAAGCTTTGAGAACGAATCAAAGTGAAGACGACATAAGTAGATTCGTTTTGTGTGTGGGAAGGTCTGGCGAAGCCAGGCCCGCGCGGGAAGGCGGTGTGTGGACTAAGCATGTGACCCCAAGGTAGCGACAAAGAGATGCTTGAGTACCGAGTGATTGGGGATAAAATAATCAAACCTTCGGAGCGTGTTCGGGCGAAACGTGTACAGACCGAATAGTCCGTCAGGAAAACACGCATTCAGACCAAAACACACTGTATTTATCAAATAGGGAGGCGGGTGGGTGGACGAAAATGAGGGAACGACGCGCGAATGGGGATGAGCGCAGAGACGAAGAGGGAATGAGGCGTCGATTCTCGAATCGAGTCCTTTTGACTAGGTGCGCTCGGGCATGTGTATAATTTAGATCGAAGCGCGCTAGAGCAGAATCTTCACGTGACCGCGTACAAAGGCCATGTTTCGCGTGTCAACGCTCGCAAGCTCGCGATCCACTTGAAACGGCCATGGTTTTTTTAATCTTTGTTCAACGCAAGGTCGAATTCTGTTCGAGCGTCACGGACCTGCTTTATCCACACGGGGTGATGCCCTTCTCATCTCCCTGGAGGCCTTGAGGGTAAAGTCCCATCGCTGGGCATGAAACAATAGTTATGAGAACGAAAGACAGGCCAAACAATACCTCCGTAAGTTGACGATGACTGGGAATCCAAGAACAACAGGTAGCCCGGAACCTGGCGACCAAATACCCCCACACGTGTCCCCCACCCTTTATCCAAACACTTTGGCAGACTTTGGCGCGGAGTATGTGCGAACCTCACACAGACCGGCCATTTGAATTTCCTCCATGTCCTCCAGCACTTGTGCATGGTCAGCAACTTGTGGCGCCTACGGAGATGGCCGATGAGCACAGCTTTTTTACTAGTTTCATCATGCTGCATCTTTCCACCTGGATCTTTTAACGCGTCCCTAAAAATGGGCATGGAAAGTCCAATCGGAAACAGAAGTATCAGACTTGACGCACCCGGATGTAAACATCATTGATAATAATGAGTGAGTGAACTTACTAAGACTCTTACTCGGCAGAGCTCCAATGTGTGGCTAATCTTTCGACCACCCTTACTGCGAAAGTTGTCAAAGAATTTATTTATTCCATAGCTCGGGGTGGCTTCGGGGACGTATGAAAATGCAGATTCGCAGGAAATGACAGTGATGTCGAGGTTTGTATACTAAATTCTAGTAATCTAATCACGTTTCAAGGTCGCGGTCAAATGCGTAAGGATCGAAATTCCGGATGATCGTTTCAAGGACATCGTCAACAAGGTTGGCTGATATGATCCGGATCCCAAAATAATATTGATATGAAAACATCTCCGGAGGTTGAAGGACGACTTCCACAAGGGGAAACCCCTCCAGCGCAATGCCATTCTTCCCCTGTGGGGTATCACCTGCCAGTACCAGCTATTGTTTCTCCGTGGATGCACAACGGATCCTTGAGCACATGTCTCGATAAACATTATGACCGTCTCTCTGAGGCCCAAAAGTTCGGTTTGGTAAGTCCTGTCTGATATGAACGCACCGCAGCTCATGACTGTCGTAACAGCTTGTTGATGTAACTGCTGGTCTTCAATACCGTACATCGTATCATTTCTGCATTGCATCAAGATGCTGATATATATGTGGTGCTTAGTCCACTCTAACGAGGTGACACATGCAGATCTCGGAGGTGTAAGTAAAAAGATATGCATACATGTGAACCTTCTCACGTCCTCTCAGGGCAACGTACTCGACAGCGGCGGAAGAACTCAGCTAGCAGTCTAATTATGGCCTACTGACTACATGCTCCGACTTAAACGAAACCTCTTATATCAGGGGTGGTGTGCGATGGGCTGCGCCAGAGCTTTTCGAAGTTCCCGACACCGAGGATGCGCCTGGCTCACCGAAACTAGTGTGTGATATTTACTCTTTGAGATGCACCACATACCAGGTCTGTTAACGGCGTATATTTGTTGTGTTCTTTCACTCATTTGTGCTAGATTTTATCGGGTCAGCAGCCGTACTGCGACATTCGCAGTGATCACCCAGAGATTGTCGTAGCCATACTCAAGGGTATCAATCCTAAGCGTCCGGAGATCCCTGCCATTGAAGACTGTCACCGGGACTTCATCAAACAATGTTGGCTCGAGATATCACGGCGATCTCCCATTGTTGACATTTGATGTATCGCTATAGATATGCTATGTGTTGACTGTTTTTGTACCAGACGAGTTTTGCAATCGACTTCTTGGGGACTTCTGATCACTGGGCTCTCAATTCGTCTCCTGCTAATGGGTAAAATGACATAGATTCATGCTGAGGCTTCCTCTGTTCCGTCAACGTGTATGTCTAAAGGCAGGGAAAAAGAGTCCACAAATTACTTGAGCGCCCTACGACCCCTCAAAATAGCCACCTTCCGCCATGGAGTGAACAGAGACGCGGACACTGCAAAACACTGCCACATCTAGCGCTCGTCACGATTTAGAAACACTTACTAATCCGCAGACCAATTGTGTCTAAATTCCAATGTCCAATTGTGAGCTGTCAAAATGGCAGGGGACTTGGAAAACACTGACGTTTGACGGCGGCATGTCAGCAGCAGAACTTTAGAACATAGGTTTGTATTTAGAATGACATTCTAGACGCTGCAGGAAGTCATCCAGTGTACCGCTAGACTCAACATAGTACTAAGTAGACCGACATTCGTATTTGGCTATGGAGATGCGGCCCGTGGGCCAATTAATATTGGGCCTTGGCGGGATGAGGCCACGCTCCTAAACAGTAGACACTTTGAGGGTCGGGGTCCCGTCCTACTAGGACTTAGGACAGCTATATACTAAGATGAGCAGTCAATATAACTACATCTTCCCAACTGCGCAATTCAAATTGCCAAGATAGATAGTAGCTCTTTCTAGTATTGTGCCAAGATACAGCAAATGATGGTGTCGAGTACATACTAGGACGGGATTGAAGTCTGTTGGTAGGAGTGCGGAATGAGGTCATTCCCAGATCTAGATGCTTAATTAGAATGAATTTCATTTCAGCTGAAATTTTCTCAGCGGAATCGGTTGAAACACAGGTAGCACGTTCTACGTGCTGAATCAAAGTCATCCGCGACGTCACATCACACCGTTACTAACCTATCAGCAGAATCAATGAAATTATCTGCATATCCACAGTGCCACATCCCTCCATTTGTGAAATTCCCCATCATGGCGCCGATCTGTCAGTGCAGGCCTGCGCTCGTTAAAAGAGCACGAATCACAAGTGTTCCACCTCAATGTCTTTTTTGTCCTACTGCTTAGAGAAAGTCGGGTTACTTTGGTGGAGAAGTAACCCGTCTACTGATCAATGGAAAGTTCCATGACAGTAACCTGCGACTGCACTTCCTCATGCTGACTTCTAATGCAGCCCACTACTGAACCTCACGGGACTCTTATCCAAGGAGTCGTCCAATCTCATACCACACGGTAGTTTTCGGGAGGTGCGGAAATGCACCTACACCACGTCCGACCATGGTGACTTGGAGGCAAGTATGCCGCTGTACATGATGTATGGCTGGGCAATCTAAATCCTTGACAGGTAGCAGTCAAGCCTATAATGATTGACGTCACGGACGACGATTCCAAGGCCAGAATTACCCAAGTACGCTCTCGGCTTCCCATTTGCATCTAATACGCTTGCTCAAACCTCATGGCTTCGCAGAAACTCTTGGACTATTTTCGTGCACGAATGCAACTGCAACACGAGAATATTTTGCCTTTGCTCGGTTTCAGTGACGACTTTGGGCAACTCCCAGCGATGGTTTCCCCTTGGATGCACGACGGCTCGCTTATTACCATATGTAGTGAACAAAAGTGGACCATCGAACATAAGTTTGAAATCGTGAGTTCTTTCTCAACGCTGCTCGCACATGGTATTCATTGGACCCTTAGTTGCAGCAAGTCGCTGCAGCCATCAGCTACCGTAAGTTGGAATCTTCATTAGTTGCAAAAACACTGAGTTGCGGCATTGTAGTCCACTCGAAGGACGTTGTTCACGGTGACCTTACCGCCGTACGTAGTTTACTTATACCTGCTGTCAAGCTCTAATGATCAGATCTGGAACGACAGAACAACATTCTAATAGATTCCGACGGCAACGCCCGCGTAGCAGACTATGGGATCCTCATCATGCGTTCCGAGCTCTCGGGTACTTCATACGTCGGAAGCATTAACGTGCGGTGGGCTGCTCCAGAGCTCTTTGAAGCGCTCGAGAACAAAGAGTCGTCGACTTCTCCAACGCCAGCGAGCGATATTTATTCTTTCGGATGCCTCATGCTTCAGGTTTTTCACATTCTTAATTGCGTTGGGTTGCGACTGAAGTCTTGCAGGTCATGACAGGTCAACAACCTTATGCAGATGCACGGAACGATGACCAAGTCACTGACTTGATAGGCAAGGGTAAGAAGCCAACAAGACCCTTGAGTCCACGTATTGCAGATTGTTTGTGGGAGGTCATCGACAGATGCTGGAATGATGTGGAACGTCGCCCCTCTGCCGACCAGGTTGTGGGATTTTTACATGAGATTACGCTAGACAAATTATCGGAGAAATAGCCCAATCAATGTAGGATGTATATTTCATTATTGTGCCTCACTTATGATACTAGTATGTATGCCGGTGATAGATTGTTCAAAAGTTCAAAATGGTACTTGATGAACTTGGTGTTCGAGCTAGACTGATATGCATGATAGAACTACAACCTAGCTGTTCGGTCAGAAATTCTGCAGATATTATGTATCACTACCCATAGCCTTGGGTGTCGGGGACTGGCGCAGCCGAGCGCCGTTACGATAAATATTTCCTCTCTTTTATCACCTTCACGGACCTGAAAGAATTCCAGACTCTTTGTAATGTTGACGGCATCACAGACAATAACACAACCTCACCCACTGGGGGCACCTC